TCGAAAGACACGCAGTTTACCGCTATAGAGATAGGAACTGCGTGTCTTTCGAAACGCGCGGGTGAACTGCGTGTCTTTCGAAACGGGCGGCTGAACTGCGTGCCCTTCGAAACGCGCGGATGAGCTGCGTGCTTTTTAGTCTAAGGTATCGATTTTTTTCTCGTGTTTTTCCCTTTGCCGCCGTAACCAGTGCGTCGGGGTAGCTTTGCCCCGAGTGGGGATCACGTCCGTAATTACTCGCACCTAACCAATTCCCTTTTATTTCCTCTGACCCACCACCTCTTTCTCGCTGTTTCCTGTGCTCGCTCCTCCCCCTCTCCTCCGCACTTCACCCCCACCCGCACCCCTCTCTTGCTCTTCGCTTTTCCACTTCTTTTGCATTCCGTTCTCCTCGCACTTTGACGCTAGCCGTGTTCGCTCGCTCCTGCCCAAGAGGTGCCGAGAGACGGACGGGTGGTCTGCACTCAGAAAACTGTGCTCCTGATTTGAGAAGCATGCTCTTAAACTTTTTAGAAATTTCGGCTCTCATCATTTTTAAGTAACAGTTTAAAAAGTATCGATCGTGCAAGAGCAATTTTCGGATCTATAAATCAAAGGGTTTCTGGATATGAGAACTATCAGGAAAAAGTGCTGTAATAACTGACGCAGGAAGGAGCAGCCCGAGAAAGCCGCCCTTGAGAAGTGCAACAATATACTCGCAGGCGAGTGTTTGCCTGCATGTCGCTCGCTGCTATCCAGCCCTGCCGAATCGTGTAATTGGATTACACATCCTCCCGGATTAGATTATCTCCTGGTCTTTTGGACCTCCCGGCTGTTGCCGTGGGGCCTGGCCTCACAAGGAGCAGCGGCCGAGCTAAGCTGGCCGACTAAGGCCTCCTTGACACGCGCCCGCCGGCGGGAGACCCGGCTGCAGGCCCAGGGGGCTCATCCCCGCCGCACCAGCTCCAACATACCCTGCAAGCTCTGGTGGGCCGGCAGGCCCATGCTGGCAGAATCAGTAGGGGCACCTCATGCATCGCATCAACGGGTCATATGGAATTAAAATATCACGAGCGGGCCTCTCCATAGCGCATGCACGGTGGAGGGCCTTGCAGCGCAATCTACAATACAAAACAGAGGGGTGGCATAGGGCGGAAGGGGGATGGAGTGGGTGTGTCAAAAGAGAACCCTGTGCTGTTGACATTTTTGTCCCTTCCCGCACCTAAAATAATTGTAGAACGGAACTGTGTACTGACGTTGAGCATACAGCTGAATGCAATGAATATGTTTTAGTCTTCGGCTGCAATGAAATTGGTCCAGCAGTCGCAATAGCTTCAGGTGGGGGCGGAACGGTCCAACCGAACATAGGGCTGACGTGCTTATTATTGATCTACTGGGCTGGGCTTTAAATAGATTAGGGCCGCTGGCTGTCCTCCTTCCTCTCAGAACCAGTTCTCTGCCCTTTACCCCCCCCCTCTCTAACTCCTTCTCGTTCCTCTTTCTCTCCCCGACTTTCCTCCTCATTCTTGTCATCTTCACCCCTTTCAAAGACCTCGTCACGTCTGTGATCAGCGGCGACCCAGCCTGGAGGCGACTGATGGAAACTCACCCCGTCCCTTACCCCGACCTGTAAATGATGGGCCAACACGCTGTCGTATCTTGATCATACTGGGCGCAATTACATCGCTGGCTTATTAGATGCCGCGGATAACTCCCTCGCGCCTCGGGCGGCCTCATGCGCGGTCGGCTGGGTATGGACTCCAATCTATCTAATTACCTTTGCGATTTTCTTTTATATTTTTCATTTTTTTTTGGGGGGGGGGGGGGGGAAGTGATGCCGCCGTGGGCCTTAATTACCGAAAAGGGGTGGGTGGAGACGGGAGAAAGTCAGGGGGGTCAACAACTAGCTGTTCCGTAACGCAATTACCTGTCGCTTTACCCCACCACCACCCCCACCCCGCACCCCCTTGGCAGCAGCGGCCCCCGACAAGCCCCCGAATGATACCGCCCATTCCATCAGCACACAACGGCCGCAATAACCTTCCGATAAATCCCGTTTTCCTCCACGCTCCCCGCCCCGTGCCCTCTGCGCCCCCCGCTGGTTGCGCTCACGACCCCGCCCCCGACGACTCCCCCGCACCGCCTGCCGGACGCGTTTACACAAACACGAAACATGGGACCTTATTTCACCCCTCATTTCCCGACCTAAAAGTTGTCCTCGTGGCGGGGCCCCCTCGTCCCCCAGGGGGCTTTGGCAGCTTGGGCGCGAATAATCAATGCGAAGGACCGCCACGGGGGACTCCCGCTGGCAGCCCTTCTGCGTGTGGGTGTGGGTGCGGTGGAGGGGGGGGGGGGGCGACACGGAACTTGACGTGTCTCCACTGACCGCACCGACCGACGGCGCCATGACGTTGTTGTTTCTCATTTCGGACACCGCCGCCGCTATTGTTCGACACTCATACAAAAGGAGAGAGAAGGGGGGGGGGGGCGGTATGGTACGGTCTGTGCCAGGGTAAATGAAGAAGTGTTCTCGCTGGGGCCGGGCTGGGGCTACGAGTCTCCGATTGCCGCGTGCGTTGGGGGCGTTGCCGTGGCCGCTCGTTTGGGGGTGCCGCGTGCCCCCCCCCCCCTCCTTCCCCCCTGAGCCATCGCTAATATTAGCAAAGCGGTTCTCCCCTACCCATTGTCACCGCTGCGGCTGCGGAGCGCGCGCCCGGTCCGGTCCTGTAGCGGTGTGTAACGAACCTACTGCCAGACAAAATGATGGCTTTTGAAACCGCATGAATAATGTGGATGTTTCCGGAATGTCAGACAGCGCTGTCATGGTTGTCGGTCTAGTGTTTGAAATTTGCGTTGGTAAACGTGAGCTGGCACTGTCATTTTTAAAAATAGTTTTTCTAAAACTTTTATTTTGAACCTAAGGTGGCAAGGGGCTCAGTATACACGGTGTGCGATATCAGTCAGAACTGAAAGTTTTTGACGTGCATGACGCATCGCTCACATGTAGACAGCGATATCGTTTTCATCGTCGATCACGGCCGGATTGTCTGTCGATCCAGGGGGACGGAATGGCGCGGAAGATAATTGCCATGATATAGAATAGCGCACTGCGTGCTGCGTTTTCCAAATAAATGGCGAACGATTCGCAAAAAATTAGTTTAAAAAAATATCAACAAATGGAAACAGTATACCGTCAGAAGTATGCGGATCAGGGGCCTGCGGTGGGGTAGCCACCATGTTCGGTGTGAAATCCTTCCGCGTTTTATTAGTGCCTGGATGGCATGCATAAAAATACTATGTCATCGGCACGGATTACGAGATAATGGTGGCAAGAGACCGTATCAGGGGTGAGCGAACGCCTCTGCAGTGACCTGGGCCAACCGCTCTCCTATCGACCTGCCTGTCCTATGGGGTTGGGTGGGGTGGGGTGTCGAAAGAGGTGTGAGAGAGAGAGAGGAGAGAGAGAGAGGGGTGGGAATGGGGAGGTGTTGCAACCCCTGTACCCTATGGCCGCTCTGGGACTGGCAGGAAACAGCCGCCCAGTGACGACCCATTGGTATAGCACGGACCACGCTTATCCTGTACGCCCCCCCCCCCCCTCCGATTGTCCATATTCTGTCCACTGAAAGGCCGTGCAAATCGCGACCCTCCCTCGCACGTGACTAGACGCGCATGTTCCGCGCTCATTTCGTCTCGTGAGCGCTCGGAAGGGTGGGCGGCGGGGCTAGGGGGATTTGCTCATCCTCTTTCCCCCACATCCCCCGCCTTTCGTCTCCCGCTGGGGATTACCGGCGGGCCTCTCCTACCGGTCTAGAGAGGTCTTCGATCGGTGTGCGCTGAAGAAGTGGCATCCGATTGTGGGCTCGAGTGTGAGAGGGGGAGGGAGGGGGGGGGGGGTATGACAGGTATGATTGGAGTGGGTGCGGTGCCCGGCCGGGGGCGCACCGGGCTCCGCACACTGCTCTGCACACAGCGCGCGACTCTCTGCCCCCCGCCATGCCGCGATCTGAGCGTTCCGTGTCTCCTCCAGATGCCGGCCTGCTGACCCGCGGCCGCCGGCGCAGCAGCACGCGATGACTGTTTCTTGATAGTGGTTATCACGAGGAACGCGCGATGGAGGAGGAAGGGGAGGTGACGACCACGACGAGCAGCAGCACGCGCGTGCAGCAGCAGTCCTTCTTCACGACCACCACCACCTCGTCGTCGAGCTTCTCCTCGTCCGGGCTTAAGCAGCTGGCGCAGTCGACGTTCGCGACGGGCGATGGGGCCGAGGCGCAGGCGCAGGACGGGCCGCCGCGCGCCGCCCTGCTCAGCTCCATGAAGGGCAGCCGCAGCCCGCTGTTCGGACACAGCCTGCTGACGCGGACGCTGCAGCAGACGCAGCAGCAGCAGCAGCAACAACATGTGGTGCAGCGGACCGTCATGCAGCACCAGATGTCGGAGGACGCGTCGGACGCCGAGACTGTCATCGCGGACGAGTCGAGCGGCGAGGAGACGCGCTACCGGCTGCCGTCGCAGTCCTCGCCGGCAGAGGCCGTCCTCATGTCCTCGTTGCGGCAGCAGAGCTCGGCGTCCTCGACGCAGCACAGCCACGCGTCCTCGCTGACGCCGCGCAGCAGCGAGGACACGGAGAGCGACCGGCTCGCGTTCAGCCTCGAGGAGGAAGACGAGCTGTCCGAGGAGGTGATGCACGTGGAGCAGCACCACAGCAGCCACCGCGCCGTGTCCCCCGCGGGCCGGGAGGGCCGGCAGTGGCTGACGGCCGACTCGGCGGTGAGCGGCGCGGGCGCCAGCAGCCGCAGCATGGAGTCGCTGAGGACGGCGTCCTCGACGTCGCGCCGCGCCTACCAGGTGGCCTCGGAGCGCGACCTGCGCCGCGTCGTGGCCTCCTCCGTGGAGGCCCGCTCGCTCGAGTCGCTGGAGCGCCAGCTGCGGCGCGCCGTGTCCGGCGACGTGCTGCCCGCGCCCGGATCAGAGGAGTCGGCGCTGACGGCGGCCGAGAGGCGGCGCGGTCTGTTCGCGGCGGTGGGCGAGCGGCGCACCACCGTGCCCCAGCACCTGTCGCTGCCGCCGCCCTCGTTCCTCTCCCCGGGCGACCGCCGGCTCACCATTCTCTCGCCGCACTCGCCCGAGGTGCTGCACCTCTCGTCGTCGTCGTCCTCGTCCGTCTTCATGTCGTCCCTCAAGACGCGGCGCAAGCAGGCCGTGGTGCTGCCCCGTCTCGTGCTGCCGCGCAGCGAGTCCGTCTTCTCAGTGTGAGTAGCATGCTATTTGTGTCGCTGGCCAGCGGCCGCGAGCCGAGTCCAACGGCTGCCGTAGAGACATTTAAATTAGTTCCCGATGCCTTTGACCTTGCGCAATTAGAAAGCGTAGCCTGATTTATTTTAAACACAGCCTTTCAAGGTTCTAATTTCGCCGAATATTTTTCTAAATTATCCTGGGTAAGGTACCAACCGACCAACCGGTTATTATTATCCGTCCTGGAACCTAAAAAGATGGGTGTTAATTTCCGAACGCGTGCGTTTGAAAATACCAGTGACGGTGGTCGCGCTGTGTTTTGAAATCCATTAGTTTTCCCGCGCTCCCGAGGCGCTGGCAGCGGCCGCGGCTCCTTGGCGGCGCACCAATCTGCCGAGCTTACACCCGCCGAGCGATAGACATTTTTCTGGCCTTCCTCGCCCAGCCGACTGTTGTTGCATTCAATGCAGGTCCTGCGCAGATAGAGTAGCGCCGAGTCACATTTGAGCGGAAAGGCACGACTGCGGGGCCCGCGACGCGATACAAAAAAGTTGCAAGCAATATGAGTGGCTGTAGCTGTAGTGTACAGCAATATCGAGTCTCTTTGGCGCCATTTCTTTCCACGCGGCACCTTCTCGCGACGCGTGGTGCAGCCGGTTCCGAACGGATGGCGAGCAGAGGAAGGCCCCCGCCGGCCCCCGCCCCAGCCCCGCGGGCTCCAGACGGACGCTTCGACCAGATTGGTATGATTGGAGCCGTGGGCCGCCAGGTGGTTATCTGTCTGACCGCCGGCCCGGCCGGCCCGGCCCCAGAGGCCTCCTTTATATATCTTTATGATGTCGTTTGCTTAATCTACTTTAATATCCGCCTCGAGGCCGGCGGGACAGATATGCGCTTTTATTGATGATGCGCTTACCACCGTTTTCGCGCTGTGATCGGGGATACGGCG